AGATAATCAGGGTAATTAAGGCGCATATATGTGTTTTTGCCGCTAGGGGGAGCAGCAATCACTCCTCTCACCCGCTGCCCCCTGATGTCCCCGCCCGGTGACGCGCGCGCCGCCACGTCCACCTCATTAATAAGCAATCAGATGATTAATTATTAATGAGTAACCTTAAACGCACCTGCTCGACCCGGCCAAACGCGGCTATAGGGAGGGGCGCGGTGGCTGCCCCACCTCCCGCCCGGCGTCGGCGGCCGCCGGGCTCTAACGGCTCTAACGGCTCTAACGGCTCTAACGGCTCCTCGGCGCTGACGGGCGCGGCGCCGCCCCGCGGAGCGCGCTGACGCCACAGGGCGGCGCGGGCGGCCGTTGCCACGGGCGGGTCGCTGCTCGGCGCCGCCGCCGGGAGCCGAGCGGGGCGCTCCTCGGCCCGCAGCAGCGGCGGGAGGGGAAGCGGCGCCGGGCCGCGCTGCTGTGGCGGTTTGTGAGGGCCCGCGCGGCCGTTGGGGGGCTGCAACGCGCTGAACTCCGTTATTTAAAGTCAGGCTCTGCGGGCAGCTGTGTGTGTTTGTGTCAGCGAGCTCCGGGCTCTCACTCTACACATATGTATTAAAAAAGCGAGCTGTGGCTCGAGACCTTATGGAAATGTTTGGGAAGGGAATTACCCCCCCCCCCCCCAAAAAAAAAAAAAAAAAATTACCTATAGATACATACTTAAAGATTTGTGCATACCTCTGACTAACCCGAGCTTTCTGTCCTCCCATGAAGAAGTAWGAACCGGTGAAGATGGAGATGTACGACGTGCTCGACAAAGTGGGAGAGGGAAGTTACGGGACGGTGGTGAAGTGCAGGCACAAGGACACGGGAGAGAYGGTGGCCATTAAAATTTTGTACGATAAATCAGGAAAAAGTGCTACCAAAACTGCAATGAGAGAAGTGAAGTTTCTGCAGGTTTGTTTCATTAAGTATTTAAAACAAATGGGAAATGGCTTGATGATCAGAGCTGCATCATTAGCAGTGCTCATGTGCTTGCTTGTAGGCTGCTTCATGCATAAAAGAGTGTAAAAAAGAAATATTTGTTTCTGAAATGCTGTGCTGCCAAATATCTAAAGTCCTACATTTAAAGACAAAGTTCTGAGATGCTGATAAGAAAAACAGTCTGTGCTTAAGGAGTGGAAGAATCTGTGTGAGTTGCAGAGGATTTTTAATTGTTTTGACTTTGTGCAATGTTATTACTAGGTGCACTTTTTAAAATAAGCATGAGGTCTGGTGGATCAGCCTTTCAGTGCAGTTTATGTGAATGCTGCAAAGGAAAACTTGCCTGTGCTGTTCTGGAAAACCAGGGCAGTTTTTAACTGAAAACAGCCACGTTTACATAAAACATGAAACATGTTGACTTTTCCTTCTGATTATACTTGTAAATGAAATACATGCTCAATAAACAATGTTTAATTTGTTTAATACCTGGTTGCTTGTTGCATTTATTGGTCACTTGCACTGTGACCTTAAGACATGCCTGCTCCGTGAGGTGGATCCTCAGCTCCATGAGGGAGAAAGCAGAAATGCTTTGCTAATCCCAAGGTCAATTTTGCTGTTTTAAATTGCTCACTGCTCTGACTTCCCAGGTGGCTTTTTTTTTTTTTTTTTTTTTTTTTTCCCCCCTTTTTTTTTTTTTTTTTTTTTTTTTTTTTTTTTTCCCCCAGCTGTTGATTACATCACTTTGCTTTGGCTCTCTTCCCAGGATATTCAATGCACATTGGCCGCAAAAGGGGTGGTGTATTTCTTATACCAGTTGTGCGTTATCTGTAAGCAGGGAATTAATCTGGAAATATTCCCTTGCAAAGATACTCTAGTTCTGCTGTACTGCAGCGTGGAGGTTTCCCTTCAAAGCTTGGTGGTCATAGTGGAGACTAGACCTATGTCCATGGAGTTCCATAACTGATTGTGAAATTACAGGGTTGCAAATTTTCATTCTCAGTTTTATGATACTTATTCAGCCCCACTTTTGCTTTTTGTGGTAATGGGACACTTTTTAAAAATTCAGTTCTCATCAATTTTTAATTAGGCATAATGGCACATTTTGCCATAATGATGCTTCAGCTTAGTATAAGTAGAGGCTCTTGGCTCTAAATATGATCTAATTTCCTAGACCTCAGTGGCATTAACGAAACTTGATACCACTGATGACGTAGGGTTTTTTTGTTTTGTTTTGTCTTTAAATAATGGCAACTAAAGAGATTCTCTCCTAGGAGAGAGAGCTAAAAACCTCTTTCAAACATCATCAGATAGCAATGTAAAAACAAATAGCAGGTGGAGCAGTTACTGCAATGGTGCATGTTTTCAAGGTGATTCTTATAAATGTTACTTCTTGTCTATGATTTAGTAATATAAAAGATGTATGCACAAGAGTATTTTTAAGCAATGAGAATAGCTGGTCATTCCAGTGCTGTATTTCTATGTTATACTCCTGCAGGTGATGGAAGTTTTTGACTTAGCATTAATAATCTTGCACAAAAGTGGGGGAAAAAAGCTTTCTGGATATTGTACCATCAAAGAAACAGTGTTTATGTATTTTTTAATTTCTATATGATGTGTTTCTTTTCCTAAAATATAACTAGTGCTAGCAACACATTTTTCTCAAAAGGCATTAGTTCAGAGCCTGAATTAATTCCAGATGACACAAGTATGTTGAAGTACTGGAGTAAGAATGAAGGCAAAGAAACAAAGATGTGTAGCATATTTTCAAAATAATGTAAATCATTAATTGATCTCGTTATGCATTTCTAGAAGAGAAAGCCTATCCAAATCGAAATAAAAAGCGATGGTAGAAAGTKCTTTTCCTCTCTTACCAACAGCAATTTCACCATGAGAACATGGTCAACCTGATTGACGTATTTAGGCAGAAAAAAAGAATTCACTTGGTGTTTGAATTTGTTGATCATACAGTTTTAGATGAGCTCCAGCATTATTGCCGTGGATTGGATAACAAAAGGCTTAAAAAATACCTCTTCCAGATACTACGAGCAATTGAGTATCTCCACAATAATAATGTAAGTATTTACTGTAAAGATTGAGCATAAAACAGCACTATAACTTTGAGGCCATCCTATTTTTATAGTGGTTTGTTATAAAAATATTGTGACAGTATTAATTCTTTCTTGAGGGGGAAAAGAAGTTTTTGCTTCTTTTTAATAGTTTTAAGCCCTTCTAGTTGGCTTGAAATGATCTGAAAATTGCAACAAGATAGTAAAGAGAAAACTAGATGATGAGTTTAGTATTTGGGCTCTTTAGTATCTGAACCAATCTCTGAAATTCTGAAAAGCTAAATGAACTTTGTACTTTAATTTTTATCCAGCCTATTTTGTTCTTCTCAGTTAATCAGCTACATTTTCAACTGTCATCCTTGGTGCTGCAGTGTTTCACAGAAGCTGAAAGTTCCTTCCTTACTCCCACCTTGTCCTTTTTCTTTGTACTGTCTCCTTTCAAATAACCACTTTTGTGTAATTCTGCTGTGGAGAAGTAGGGCATTGTGCAGAAATCTCATTCACCTTCTCTCATCACCCACATTAAGCAGTTGCTATTTACAGTAGTATTATCACATAGATGACTTTGGAAAATCAGGGCATTCTGTCTTCCAGGGTCAATCCTGACATAGCAGGAGGGTGGAGGGGATTCAGCATTGGGTTTTTGTTGGTTTGGTTTTTGTTTTACCGAACACTAAGAAACAGAACCTGTTTCATATTAAGCTGATTTGTGGGGGGTTTTTTATTTGCTTTTTTATTATTTTTTTATTTCTTCAGATCATACATCGTGATATCAAACCTGAGAATATTTTGGTATCTCAAAGTGGAATCACCAAACTCTGTGACTTTGGGTTTGCTCGCACGTTAGCCAAAGCTGGTGATGTTTACACAGATTATGTGGCCACGCGATGGTACAGGGCTCCTGAACTGGTGTTAAAAGACCGGACCTATGGAAAGTATGTGGAACTTGTTCTGTTTCGTCTGTTGCTCATCTGGGATAGGAGAAGCATTGTTAACACATGGACTTTAGCTATAACGTAACACGAGAAAAASGAAAATCATTAGAACTGTATATAAACAGTAAACTGTAAAATAGAAGATACTATAAAACTTGAGAAAGACTTGAGCTTTCTGAGATGTAACTTACATGGTTGACAATATGTTAAGTTGGAAGTGTCAAGGGTTTTTTTAGTGTGTAATTCTTCCTAGTATTTTACTTTGTAATATTTACTTATATTTTTTAGTAATACTGTTTTTTTTTCTCTCTAAATATTYCTTTAAAATACTACTTCTTTTCATTTAACATCTTGTTGCTGAAAACCTTTTTCCTTTTTCTGATTGTAGACCTGTTGACATCTGGGCCCTAGGTTGCATGATGATTGAGATGGCTACTGGAAATCCCTATTTACGTAGCAACTCTGACCTAGATTTACTTCATAAAATTGTAACTAAAGTAGGTGAGTATTCCTATTCTGTAAATCAGACCGTATTGAAGGAAAAGCTTTTATATGTGACATTAACTTGATTGTTGTGTAATCTGCTAACAYAGATTTGTGCATAGCTCATTGAAGGGTCAGGATTATTAAGTAGTTTTTCTAATATAATATTAAGTTAATATTAAGTACGTTTTTCTAATATAGTCCTGCCAGTAGGACAGATTTGGGACTGTGAAWTCCATTCTGTATGTCATGTTGTTAGATACTAGTTAATAATAATAGTAGATATTTTGGTAATGTGAACTACAGACAGAGAAGTAAGTGGCTTTTTCAGAAGCTGGAACAATTTCTTCTCTCTCAAGCCTTACATATAGTTTATAGTGCGGTAGAGTCAACTAGAAGGACATGCTTTTATAATCACTGTTTTCTTTGAATGAGGAAGTTAAGAGAGGAATAGAGTCATGGCTGAATATATTTCAGCCTTGAAAATTGCAGGCTTTTCAATGAGGTTTTTTAAAATGTATTTTAGCCAGCTCCATGCAAATGCATCATAATCTTATTTTGTTATAATCTTTATATCTGTTTTAACCTGCTAATTTCTTATCTCTTCATAATGTACTTTTTTACAGGCAATTTGACACCTCATCTTCAGAGTATTTTTAAAAGAAGTCCAGTTTTTTCAGGGATGGTACTTCCTGAAGTCCAGCATCCTAAAAATGCAAGGAAAAAGTACCCCCAGCTCACTGCCTTGCTGGCTGATATGGTTCATGTATGTTTAGGAGGCCTGGGTATCAAAATGGATAATTACTATTACTTGCCATTGTGTATAATTGATAACCTTACTGACAAGATGAAGAACTCTAACATCTGTAGTCACTGCAATCCATGTTAGTCTACCTAAATCTGGAATAGAAATCTGGTTTTGGAGTATGCAACTCCTCTATCCAGCTGCTGTCCCAGAATATCACTCCAGATAAGTTCTCCTGGGATTTGCAGGAGTTTTTTCTGTTTTGTAGAGTGATTTTTATTCTATTAAGTTGGACCTTAGGACCATAAGGTTTAGGATACAAGAAATGCATACATCCAAAAGTATTTGATTCAAGATAAGTTAATATTTTGGCATTTGTTCAATTTTCGGCACAAAATTGAAATGAGCATTGAAATAAAATAGTTTAACCTGTCAAATTTAAATCTTCCTATCAGTACAACTGCATATGAGAATTCCTCTTTGTACATTATGCTAATTAATCTGCTGTATGGTACTTCCTATTGGAACCTCCACTCAATTGTGGCCTTTATCCTTAACTCATAGGAGTCAGTTTAATTGGGAATATGCACACATGAAGAATGTGGACCATCAKAGCATGCTAACTAGAGAAGTTAAGATTTTCAGAAGTGGCAGGGAGATTCTGTAGTCAGTCATTTTTCATAAGTGTTTAAGCTTATTTGAATTCATTAYTGTTATAATTACTGTCTTCACTGAAATGCAGTTGCAGACAACAATGACTTWAAAAAATTGTATTCTGTTCGGGCACTAAATCTTCTTTCCTGAAGTCAATCAGAACAGGAATGGACTTAGGTTTTACCATTTCCATTAAGAAAAACTAAAAACCCAATAATCAGTCAATTTCCTGTCTTATAAAGACTTGAGAGAGAGTTGATGGAGGAGGAATAATCTAATTGTGGTGCATTTTCTTTCTCAGTAGCTTATTCTTTCCCTCTTTGACAGCACACCTGAAATGTGCCCTTCATATGAAGAACTTGTTCATTAAGTCTTAAAATAACTGACAAGTGGAAAGCTTCTTTACAAATCCATAATGGTAGTGCTGATACCAGGCATCTCTAGTAATCTATTAACATCATAAAAATTTGAACAAAAGCTGTGAAGTACTTTGTTCAGTAAAGACCAGAGAGGCTTTCACTTAGCAGGGTTTCTAGCTARTAATTCTTTCTTGGGCAAGTAGAAAATACTGTTGTTTTCAGAGAAATGAAGGATCTCATTCATTCATTGGGCACTGGGAAAAAGTCTTAAAGTAATATAGTTAAGGGAAAAAAAAGGATTTATGAATGCAATACAGAGTATTAGTAAGCAGAGATCTATAATCACTGATGGCAGGGTGCCTAAATCCACGTGAACTGTTGACTTGTCTGTTAGTTGCAAAATTACTGAATCTTCTAATACACTCACAGAAGTCGTCATGTTTTGGAGAGAATCTGTAGCCACCGATGCAATGTTTTCCTAAACAGCAAAAACATCTAAGTTGTTAACTTGATGGGAGTTTCTCTTACATAGTCCCTAATCCACGCTCAAAAATTGCAAGATGGTAGGAACTGCACGCTCTATTTTTGTATATAGGTAATAAGCAGTTTATGGGATATAGTAGCACATTTGAGCCCCAGAGAAGGAAGAGAGTACCCAAATGAGGGGAGCTAATTTCAATTTGGAAATAAAGATAAGGGACAGATCATGATCCCTGAGACAAAGGGGCAGCACAGGTGTTTAAAGAATCCTATGTTGATRTATAGTTGCCATGGCTGCACTGGTACTCCATTCATAAGCCCCACCAAGCAAATTAGAAAGTATTTTGGGACAGTTCTCAGCCAGCAGAGTACTCCTATAGGGAATATTCTCTGCAGTATAATTTAATGAAAACTCTAGGGCCCCTACCTCCCCTAGAATTAGGAGCTAAAATAATAATTCACCTTCCAGCCACCCTCAAATGCAGTCAGAGGTGCCAAAAAAGTGAACTAGGTTACATAGCAATAGAACAGGATCCAGACATCCTAGATGTTACTGAAATAGGTACAATGATTAAAAAAAAAAGATAATTTGGGGTCAGAAATTGTGAATACTACCAGATGGAAAGTTTTCTTATAATGTAAGGATAAGTTTTGAAGTGAAAACATATGAACTTACAGCTATGYACACACTAATGTACTTAGATTCCTGTAAAATGTGAACTGCTATTGGTGTATTACTAGAATTGGTAATACACAATTTTGTATACATGGTAGCCTACTATCTCATTATGAGATGCTTTCTTCTACAGTAATCTTTCTGATGTGTTACAGGCTTGTTTACAAATAAACCCTGACGATAGGATCTCCTGTTCAGATTTGCTGAGGCATGACTATTTCACTAAGGATGGATTTATTGAAAAGTAAGCATTTGATTAGTCACTAGAATATAAGAAGCTCTGGATTGGAGATTATTGAGCAGACTTTCACAAGGGCTCACAGTTAGAAATATAACTAGAATATGTAAGATACACGATTAAAAACCAAAATCCTCTACAGTGCTAAGTACTTGTGAAGCTCATGTCCTAGATGTGTCAAGTGCGTGCACAGCATTAACGAATCCTGTTTACAGCAATACTGTATGCTTCTATTTCTATGTCTTTTTGTGAAAAAGTTAGTTGCACTCAATGCTTCACAAACTGCTACACTCCTTAATGATATATTAGTTAATACTTAGGTAAAAAGTTGTGCTCTCCATTGATGAGTATCACTTAGCAATAACTGTTTGCAGAGGTAAAATCTGCATAGAGAGGGAAAACTGAGACACAGGATCATGCTCTGACTAATGAAGATAAAACTGCATGCTGCCACCCAGACGCAGGCTGTTCCATGCTCTGAATAAAACAGACTCCTTAGTCAAAATAACATTCATTATGCAATCATAACACATACAGAGGACAAAAGATTCTGGTTGCTTAGAAAATAGTGTTTCTGGTGTTTAATTTGTCAAATTCCTGACTTTACCACAAAAAAAAAAAAAAAAAAAAAAAAACACCTCCATCTAGCACTTTGTAAAATAATTTTAAAATATTTATTTTACATTATTCTTAACATATTTGGGGCATTTAGTTTTAAGCATGACTTTGGAGTGATCTAACAATCACTGTTAGCTTTGCATAGACAGAGCTCTGCTGTGCTCAGCTCGCTAGCCACCAGGTGTGGCTATAGAGCCTGGGCTGCTGCTTCCGAAATGCATGGGGTTTCTTGGAGTCTATACAGCAACCATTTCYAGCAAGGACATAACACTGCAGGCTTGCCTTCTTCCCCACAAATCCCAGGCTCTGTTCAGCAGCTGTAATTGTTAACACATATGTCTCTTAGTATGTATGGGGTTTTCTTATACAGACATAAAGGAGGATGGGATTTTTTTTTTTTTTTTTTAGCAATCGATATAGAAGCATTTGCAGGTTTCTATTTCCTCCTGTCTGATCAGTAAGGAAAAGTGGGGCTTGTAGCATTTCAGTTTTTTGTCTTCTGATTACCACACTTCTCAAAAATGTCTTCTAGCATGCAAAATTTCAACTATAAAAATCAAATGTTCCTAAGCATAATATAATATTTTGTAGTTAAAAATATTAAAATATTAATTAGGATATTGACTATATTAAATGCAATATAAAATCACTGAGACTTTTTTTTGTGAAATTCCCCTTTTCAGGCTTCATTTGACACTGTAGTGTCAGATATTTAGTAAAAGAGAACTGAAGCATAAAAACATTAGAAGGTGGCTACTCATTCAGTGAATTGATCAGTCTTCAAAGGCATTTTGTTTATATCAGAAAGCTTCCATGCTCTTTAGAGATAAATGAAACAATCCATAATTTGTCAACATCAAAACTGAAACACTTCCTCTGAATAAAATTTGCATTGTTAATTCCTTTTTACAYGGAACAGAGTATTTACAAGTTTAAAAACTTTTTTAACCTGTTTTAATGCCAAGCATCAGTTGTGTGCTAGATGTGTTGTTTATTGACAAGCTCTATTTTTAACACATAGTTTTAGTGTTATGCTTGGAACTACTCATGAGGTTTTTGGCGCTCTGAGTTGTTAAATAATGGATTTAGTTTAGATACTGACAGATTATTTTAAGAGAAATTATTATTTAATATAACTTAAAAGATTATCTCTTTTTTCTTACCAGGTTCTTACCAGAACTGAAAGCCAAATTCTTACAAGAAGCAAAAGTGAATTCTCTTTTAAAAATCAGAGGGAGTAACAATAATGTTGGACTGCTAAAAGATGAAAAGAGAAGTGCTCGTATTAATGCCTGTCTGAATGGCCCAGTATTTAGGAAGGTGAGAATTGGTTTTCTTAAAATGTTCATTGCTGCATAAAATTTTCATCCTAACTGAACACTGTTGTCTTATCTGTCTTAGCCCCATATACTTTTTGTTGCAGTTTTTTTTTGTCCTTTCTTTTTCATATTTTTTTCCTGCCCTTTTCTAAGGCCCCACAAGGGTTATTGGAGGGAAGAATAACAACCCTAGGACCTGGGGAAGGAAAAAGCAAACATCTRGAGGAGCTCTTGGTGGGGAGGAAGCCACCAATAGGCCATGTCAATGCTTCTCTGTGGGAACTGGCTTTTACTCCAGAATTGTTCCTTCCCCCTTTCTGGGCATGGCAGGAGTAGCCTACTTTCCTAACCACTTTCTTCACCTAGAGGAAGCTTGTCTGGGGAAGGTGGAATTTGTTGATGAGTGGAATGAATCTAGTGTTTTATGAGTTACAAGAAATAAAAGTTCATTTCCACTTGCGAGGGCAGCTGGCAGGTCAGCAGTCCTCTATGCTATGGCTGTCTAGTTAATTTGGCCTCTATTTTTCAGCCCAGGTTTTAACTGCTACCCCTAATGGCAAAAACCAAGGCTGAAGACAAGAAGGGTAGTGTAGATAAAGGGCTATCAGGATGCCAGAGCTGGTGTTAGGGGACATGGGACTGTCGCTTGTTTGCAGCGTCCCACGATAGAACCCGGTCGGCACCAGAGCACCATTGCCTAGAAACCCCAGCTCCCAAAGGGAAAAGATCTGGGGAAAGGAAAGCCATGTTGCTTATGAAACTATTGCATTTATACAGCCATTGCCCTAATTAGTGTTTTAATAYGTTCAACTATAAAATACCATAACATTAAAAACGATGGTGGTTAATGTCCGATTTTGAGACTCTAAAGCCTGAACTTCTACTCTCAAGGAATACTTGGCCTCTTGTATGACTGAAAGCTATAAAATATAAAACAATATCTAATTAAGAGTATGTATCTGTTTTGACATAGTGTTTGTTCTAGGATGTCAGAAAGGACAAAAAATCAAGGAATCTAAAAGCAAAAGTTGCCAAAGTGAAAGGTAGGAAAAAAGCAATTGMAGAGATGGAAAAACCTCGTCAAGAAGACGCAGTCATTCAACAGGCTGCTTTGTCACGGCGTGGTTTTCCTGAAGAGGCCAACGCCAACCTCCCCGACATGCCGGGCTCTGCAAGGGCCAGCAGAGATCTCCCCAGGCCAGAGGATCCTCTGTCCACGGGCAATTGTTCAGCAATGCCTCCCATCCGTGCAATCTGYGGCAACCTCACCGCGGCGACCTTCAATTCGCACTTTCCAATTTCCAGTACCAGGTCAGCGTCCTTTGGGCCTTTCTCTAAATGAGGCAGCTGGTAGTGGTTTTAACTTAAATAAACAAAATGTGTACTTACCAACTTTATTTTATCCGTTGTTAGGGTTGGTTTTATGCTGGCTTTGGCAGAAAAATCTGGTGCAGTCCATGCTGCCTTCTTTTTAATGCAGATGTTCTACTGGGATGGCTGGTCTTGGCATAATTGAGATATTCTAGATTTGCTGAAAAAAATAAGAGTAGAAACAAAAAGCATGTTGGACCACACTTTGCTTCTAAAATACTGTTTTTGTATAAAGTTTTCTTTTCTGAACTCCTGCAAGTGTGTCAGCAAAAGGAGTATTATGAACCGTGATCATTATAATACTGTCTTTCTTGATGTTCTGCTAAATTCTACTTTTCTAATTCTCACATGCGAATATGGTTCTTTTGTCTACAATGCTCACTGGTGTGTTGGTCAAAGATTCCTTTGCTATGTTCACACGATCAGTACCGTTCTAAATGCAAACTGTCACCAATGGGGAGCATTGTTTGAAGTATGCATCTATGTTCAAATTTCAAATATACCTTTATAATTGTGAGGGGGCTGTCTATATACTACTGCCTCCCAGCTCTTGAATGGCCCAGCTGTGTTGCCATGTTATCACAGGGCACCTGAAAAAATAAAGAAAATAAGTCCTTGGCAAGCAGTGGGACAGATGGGAACCAGAACTAAACAGGGCGAAGAGTCTGGGTCTCAGGTATGTCTATTTTCTTTGTTTTCTCATTTTGATTGACCTATATTTACAAGTTTTGAAATGTACTGGCCAGAGCTTATTTAAGGGGAGTCATAAAGAGCCTTAGAGCTTGTCTATTGGTGGTGACAATTGTTACATGTTGAGTCCATGAAGAATGAAACTGTGGTCCAGTAATGCTGTTGGATTTTCAYCCTGGACTTCACAGAAATTAGATATAGAACAAATCTCTGCTCCCTGGATTTTTYTTGGAGTGACTGTACAATCTTGGCTGCAGCTTGTGGCATGTACAARCTCTCAGCGCTTTCCCTGAAGACCTCCCCTCTCTGCTTTTTACTGTTTTTTACTTCTAAAGCTAAGAGGATGAACAACGTAGGGTAAGAAGTAGCTTCCTTTTATAGCTAAGTGCACACTGGGGAGCCACAATTATGACAGAACTTTCTAAGATTTGTGAAGTATAAAACATTCTGGAGGTTCTCAATGGTGTTTGGTGTAAGAGAGCTGTATGTCTAGTTATGTCAGAAGAGTGGATCTAGGGCCCCAAATGAAATCTGGATTCTTAATATATTTTACTATGCTTAGGTGGCAGGAAGCTTTAGAAAATAAAAGTAGTAAGTACCAGGCACAGCACACACACCTTGAGACATATTCTGATTTTTTTATTTTTTTTTTTTAATTTTTTTTTTTATTTAGATGCAGTCAGGAAAGGTTGCAGCATATGAACCAACTGCTCAGATGGATCAAATGATCAGTGTGAACCAAAAGAAGTGTGGTGTTGCAAAACCAGAGAGAAAAGACATCCGTTTCCCAGAACTGCTGAGAACATCACAACAAGGCCTGGAAGGTAAGAAAGTCGGACTGGCTTCACGGGCACACAAATCGGAGGGTAGTTTGAGCAGAGAAGTATGAGTATGAGCTAAGACCTAAATAACCAATAAGTAGCTTTGGTAGAAATTCTTTGGTAAAAATATGCATCAGATTAGAATGGATTAGGAAAAAAAAAGTATGAGTTCAGGAATATTTCTTGTAAACATGTGAAAGATGAGAAAATTTTTCCTCTGTAAGAACTAATTTTAAGTGAAAAAATCTCTAAAATAGTTCAGTACTGTTTCCAAATCAGTCCATTTAGGCATAGAACTTGATGGTAAGTAGGGAATGTAGAAAAAAGGACAAAACCTAAAAATAATTATGTATCTTTTTGTGAAAGCGAAACAGGTAAAAATGCCGAAGAGGGAGGCGAAGAATTCTGAAGTATCTAAAATACCTTCTTTACTCAATATTGATCAATGATAAGAAAAACAAGAGGTAAATGAGCACATTAGTGAAAAATATATGATGATATATAATTGTTAGAAGATGTAACAGTCAATCCACTAACTTTCTTTTCTCAAAATGATTTTCAGACTGTGGAATAAAACACACAAAAAAAACTCGAGCAATCTTTCCTGGAATAAGCAATGTACCAGCATGTGAAACTCTGGAATCTTTGTAGAGTAAAATCTTTGTTCTTAATCTTTGAGAAGTTAATATGGCTTTTTAATGATGTGGGGGATTTTCGAGGTTTGCTGTGGTATGTATGCACTCCACAGGAGTGGTTTCAATGTGATCATGAAACAGCTGATTTTTATTAAAAATACGTATTTCCAAAGGTTCTGTTACTTATTTCTCTTACATCTCTTGCATATTCTCTTGCTAATTTGTCATTTGCTTCCTTCTAATGCATCTCCCAGGTGGTCACTCCATTGCTAAGGTGTTGTTAAATAAGTACCTTGTAGATGAGTTCGGTTTACATCTTTTTTCCTCTTTCTTTGCTTCCTTCCACCCTGTCTATGCAAATTAAGTTCACAGTTTGAAGTCTGTTAACTAACAACTGTTTTATCACAATAAATGTTTTTACTTTAACCCCTTCCATGGTATGGAGAGGAAAAAAAATATTCTGCATTTATTGATGAATCCCTCAATCAAATTACAATTACAAGCCACCTAAGACAGTAGGTGGTGGAAAGCTATGAAAAGCCTGGAGAGTAAACGACTATCATTGTCTGAGTTCAAATACTTTTCTCTTTACGGCTTTACAGCAAGGTAGCTACTGAATGTCTTGAGATATAAACATACTTTTAAATACTACGTTTCATATCAAGAGAAAGTCACACCATCAAAAAATAGAATAATCTGTAGATGGCTTGATTTCTTCAGATTTAATCTGGCTTGGTTTATTAAACTTCTGAATATTGTGATTTGTTCTCTGATTTGCTGCCAACATGTTATGCAGGACTGCTGCTGCTGCTGCTGTTGGAARCTCAATAAAGTGTTGACTGACATACACAGACTGTAACGGATGTTTTAATGGGATATCTAAGCTCCACAGTGCACACACGGATGTGAGAAAAAGCAACATTAGCCCCCYGAAMKAGATGAGCTCTAAAGGTCCCTTCCAACCTTAACGATTTTATGATTCTGACTATTTTTAAAATCTTGTCCTCTGCCTCTTCTAATTCCTTTTTCTGTACAATATTCTATTAAAATCTCTCTATGTATATTCCTGGTTTCAGGAAGTAGGGAGCTGAGGGCTTAATTTCATTAGTTTCAGAAAACAAGCAAGCAACTTATATGGGCTAAGGGTTAATTACAGCCAAAAAAAATAGATTTGATTCACTGCACTGCAACTTAGAAGGTAGAGATTCATCCCTTGAAGATCAAATAGAGAAAAAAATCTACAAAATTAAAAAAAAAAAAAAGTGTAAAAGAGAGAAAGGAAATGCTTTGAGAATAGTCAGGTATTTTCTATTTAAAGTGCCTGGATCTGGCACTAGTCTGGGAGACATCTGGACAGTGTTCCTTGCTGTGCTGCTGGCCAAGGTGATTTGAGTAAATAATCTTATTGCTGAACACTTCAGATTCCCCTTCTGTGAAGTGTGATTAACTTTTGCAATGTTCCCTGAAATCCTTCTGATGGAAAACACTATTTATTTGTGTGTCTTTTTGTTTGTTGTCTGTAAACTCTTTTAGAAATGTGCTAAGTCTGTTCATCTACAAGGTTTAAAAGGATAGTCAGAGAAGAACTAATACTCAACTAATCTCTCCTGTTAAAAAAATGCCCCAGGAAATGAGTAGGAATTTTCTCTTTTGGTCTGTAAGCCTCCATCCCTCTACAGAGCTAACAAATACAACACCACTGCAATTAGAAATCACAACACAAGCAGGAACCTCCCGCAGAAGGACAACGGAAAAAATAATGTCTCTCTGAGTAATATGGAAATAAATACCCTGTGCAGAAATATCTATTACGCTTATTATTGCACCTGTAGGGGCATGTTAGAGATCACAGCACATCAGCCATGGGCTTAACAACAGTATTCAGCAGCTTCAGAGCAGTCGTGCAGCGCTAACGTTTTTGCTCTTTGCTATCTGCTTCATGGGTCTTTCTGCTAAGGAACTGTTATTCATTGCATATATGAATATGTAGATATACCTTTTGAAATGGCTTAACTACAGAAATGCATTTTCCAAAATAAAATAAAAATATAAATCACTATTTGTGAAGTATACCTTACATCAAGCATTATGCTGAAGTGTTGCAAACGTTTTATTTGACATTGCTTCTAAGTGAATTTCTGATAGTAACAGTTGCATTTTTAAGCTTTTGTTTAGCAGCATTCTTTTAAATTTAATGAGAATTAACTGGAACTGTCCCTTAAGYCACTTGCAATAAAGATGCTAATTAGCTCATAGAATGTTTTTATTGCAATTTGAAGAGCATCTTATTGCAAAAGAGGAACTGTTTAGTAATACCACAGTCTTCACTTAACTGTGTGGATGCTTCTCCCTATGTTTTTAAGCATCCCTATCTCGAAGTGCAGGCTTCTAGGTAGAGAAGTGGGAAACAACAAGCATAGGTGACACTCCTCCAGTTTACAGGTGAAATGCAGATAAAGTTTCCTGACAAAGGAAAATGAGGGAAGAGGAGGGATTTTTCCAGTTTCATGCAGCAGTAGATGCAGACYTAGGCACAGGAGAGGAGCCTAAATCTCCTCCCATGTCTCCTGAAAACCCACTGCCATTAAAGCACTGGGTTCCGACAGAGGTGCGATGTGTTACAGGCTGAAACTATTAACTATTGTATTTTTTATTTCCATACAACATGAAGAGGAGAGTCATAGTATCTGAAATAACATAGCAGTGTTTCAATGCTGGAAACTTTGAAAAYTGAGATTTTGATAGGACATGATAAATAGGTGTGGCTAATAAATTTATTATTCTCTCATGAGTCCTACAAGCAAACCAAGCATTACAGAGGATGGAAACAATTTTGTTGATATCGCTGGAGCTAAACCCACTGAAGCCAGAATGAAACATAAATGTCCACATAATCCTCTGTGACCTCTCAATTATTCCCCCACAGCATAACAGCGATTTCAGATTACACTGAAGGGAAGTGTAATTTAAACTTTCTATGGTATGTGTGCTCGTCCCTTTAATTTCCTTCTTCAGTAGTCATTGAGACAAGTTAATCTGTAATGTGTTTTAACTGGAGGAAGGGTTGCAGCAGAGACACTTTGGCCCATTGTGAGTCTTTGTGTTCTTTCTAATACTGTTTTCCATAGCGATTTCATCTCTGTCCCAGAATCTAATTGCTAGAGGAATAGCCTTTGTATGCAGAAGACAATGGGCTGATTGCTGCTCCCGGTGGAGCTTCTTGGGAGACAAGTATTATGTATTTACAGCTAGAGTTTGCTACAGTTAAAGCATCAGGAATGCAAAAAGTTTGCTGTAACTTCCTACAGATAAAAAAATTCCTAACATACAAGACACCCAAAATGCAGCTCAGACAAGTTTCACTCAAATATTTAAGTATAAAATGTTTTTCGATAGTAGAAAGATCCTAGAAGTGTTCCATTGCTGCTCACAAAATGTATGTTTCTGCTTTCAGAGTTTTTCCCAGTGTTAACTATAAAACTTGAAAACCCCGTCTCAGTTGGAATATTTGGATGACAAAAAGCTTGTTCAATTAACTTTGGAAATTATTTGGCATCCAAAAGTGGCATCTTGATTCTTGTTGATTTTTATTGGTACCAGTGTTTGGTTTTGATTGTCTGCTTTCGAAACCATGTCAAACCCAACTGCTTTTGTTGCACTCTTCTTAATACTAGACCAGCTGGCTGGCACTTTTTAATATCTACTCTGTTTACTATTTAAACATATGCAGTCGGATGACATTGTCTTCCCTTGGTGTTACATAAAATCTGCAGGTGTARTAGGTGAAGAAAGGTTCATTTTAGGGTGGCATATGAGATATACTGACATGAAGAAACACCCTTTATAACTGGGCTGGTCATATGATTGGTATTTGGCAGAGTCTCAGAGCATGACTCAGTGAAATCTTTTAACAGTGAAGCTTCTCGTATAGTAAACATTCCCAAACAGTGGACTCTATAGTTTTATTTCACTGAAGTAAAATCCTATTATATTAAATTATAATGTGGAAACATTCTCTAGGTTAATTTTATGGAAGAAGCTCTTTAAGTCTTCACCATCTGCTGCACCCTTTAATTACCAAACCAAAAAAGTACAATTCATAAACTCATCATAAAAAGAAGGCTAGAAGTGATTTGGATACGTAGGTATGTGTTATACCCAGCCTGCTCGCATCTATTACCTACATGGTTTCACTTGACAGTAAGCTATATTTTGCTGGCAGCATTCCTACTTTAAAAATACATATATTGGTAGTTTCAAGTGTATAAAGGGTTAGTCACTCCCTCACCTAGAAACCTCATTGTCCACTAGAGTGGTTCTGTTGTCATCTTAGATGTAGCTGCTTTTCAAGAGAAGGGAAATGATCTTTGTGCCTGCAGGCCATTGAACACTGCAGAATCCTTCTGCACAAAAGAGGGTACAGAAATATAGTAGATGAAAAGCCACATTATGGATGCACTTTGTTAGTGCTTTTTTTATATCAGAGGCTACCCTCTTTAARAGTAATACTCATTTTTTTCTTCTGGATGATATGTGGAAAGCATTTACATTTAAAGCAAATGAGCAAAAGGCAAGTATTTGCATTCAGTGACACTGCCCCAGAAACTTGTTCACTTATATCGTAAACAGCCATAAGAAAATAATTAGTTTGTTCACCTAACAGYTATGATGATTTGTTTTCTATTAAAGCTACTTTGAAGCAAAGGTATTTCATTTAAAAAAAAAAAARAAAGAAAACTGTGAATGTAAAACTAGCAAAATCTGTGCTAGCAGCTGGAACACTTTGCAAATGGGAAGCACGAGCTGCAATGAACAGGTACAAGAGATATCTTCCATCCCCTGGTCTGTTCTCATCCTATGCTGCCTCTTGCTRCACTGTTTTCACAGCATAGAGTAAGAGCAAGAGTTATTTTCTTCAACACAAAAGTATATTAAATAGTCACATAAAACCAGAAGAACTTGTTTTGGAAGAAGTCAGCCCTATCTCAAGGCTACTGTAATGCACACACCTTTCTTGCTGAAATTCCTTCACTGGGTCTTTTATCTACACATGAATAATTCCTGCCAGATTTTCCTGATTCTTTCTCCAATTGAACACCATCGA